TTCAAAGTATGGGGCGGAATTATAAAATTTAAAGTCTGTTGTAAAGAGAATTGTAAGAGCTTTCAAAAGAAATATTACTCAACCCCCAATGCCATTTAAACGTTTTGGGGTGATGTTTACCCTTGCTTGGGGGTGAAAGTGGCGGAGTCAAAAATACCAACAAAGAATGTCTCCCTTTAATCTAAAATCGACGGGTCTGAGTGTTTTTCTACAATCTTGACGCAGTTCCTGGAAATGGTTCTGTTTCGTTTTCATTTGGCCACCCTGTATAATTGTAAATGTAAACAGCTGCTAGATAATAAGTTTCAATGTTTTGATGATGATTAGAGTCAAATAATTGATTCTTCTTACAGCGATAATGACTTACATATTTCATTTTCAGCATCTTAATTTAAGTTAATCGTAAATAATATAATTAACATAGCCTCTTTGCCATAATATGTAATATGATATACTGGTTCCAAATGAGCGTATTGTCTAATAAAGTCTTAAGTTGCTTTCAGCAAAAATGAATATTAATTCATTGTACATAATTTTTTAATTACATATTGATGACATAAAAACTTTGTAAGGCAAATCTGCGAAAAGTCAGCTTATTGTACTCACGAAGCATTTAAAATACTCATTTCGCTTATGTTTTTGACCAAGTCCAAAACGATTGATTTCTCTTGTATCTTAAGTAATTACTATTACTAGAAAAACCACATAATTTGTATTAAAAGAATTGTAAATAATATTAAAGTTTTAAAACGGATAGGCTTTTAATTGTCATCGTATATTTTCTAAAATTTCCAATTTGCCTTAAAACTTTCGAACCGTTTTATGTGGGAGGCGTGCGAAAACCGCCGCATTTTTTATATTACCCTTGACTGTAAAATTAGGAATACAATATTCCAGGAAACGCTCGGTGGTAACGGGTCATTAAACCATCGATCTTAATCAGTGGCATGTAGTTCAAAATAAATGATACGACTTTTCCACCCCAACCAAGGGTCGGTTAAAAGTTAATACGCTGACGGTTTGCGAGCTGTTTTGAGTCTCCTGCGAGGGGAATTAATATTAAAATTTCATAATCACCACGGTATTATACAAATATAGGCTGTAATTACATTCTTTAACTTGACAGATTAAGAATTGACACTGATACTGCAGTGTAAATATATTTACCGTTTATTAACATCCTAAAATGAAAATAAACGTAATAATCAATAGATAACAAGTTACAGCATGTAAAATTTATTCCTTTTACTATCACCATGTATAAAATATTGAGCTTTGGTATTTTGACTAAATCTGTTACATGCATGGGGAGTAAATATTCCGTCGAGTTGTGCGAAAAGTGTTGATGAACATACTTACAACTCCAATGACCTAGTTTGAGTTGTCAGTGTTGCGATAAACAACTACTCCGAGAGCTATTTGCCCCTACCGGCATTGAATTATACTCGCAACACCTAGTGCTACAGCTAGGATCGTTTGTCAGTTTAACTCACAAGGCACAGACCGGTTTCGGACTTATTAGTCCTCATCAGTGTGTCATAGGTGCGACAACCGACAAACGACCCAGCTGTTCTTCGTCGTATCATCTCCTTTTCGTGATGGCCTGATATGACATTGAATGAAGTATAAACTATCATGCTTTGTGGACATTTGTCTCACATTTAACACGTTTAATGCCTATCGACATTAATACTTGTAATTTATATTTCTGAATTCATTTATTTCGATGGTGATGCGTCTTTAATTGAGTGGTATGGATATTCATAATGACAGGGTGTTATTTTTCATTTCATGTTTCTTTAAATGGGGTGATTATTACAAAATAACAGACTAGTAGGGCATTTTTCTCTCGGGGCTGTCGAACACTGCCTCCTCGACATCATTAAATTTTTATTTTTAGAACTTCGTAAAAAATTGAGATATTCCGAACGCAAAATAATGGCAGTTAAAGCTTTTCCTGTGTTGCGCTCTACACGGTTCTTTTATCAGTTTACATGTTTGGAAAAAAACAACGTAACGATGAAATATAATGAGCAAATTTAAAACCAATGTATATCTTCAGTTAGCAACGTTTCTGACGCTTCTTATAGAAAAGACCGTCGAGTAAGCAGATTGTTTAATTAAATATGACAAATGTATGATTTACTTTTCACGTATAAACACATCAACAAATAATTAATCATACTTAAAATAAAAAAAATCCGTACAACGTTCTGTTCTTTCTTGAGTATTAATCTGAATTGTATCTGATGTTACTCAAAATAGCAACCGTTACACGCGCCGTTGATCTTTTTTAGTGGCATTGTTAGGGTTCTACCTGTATACGTTAGCTGATGAGAAAACGCTCATTCATTCTTTTCCCGATTTTACAGAAAAACACACAACTCGTTATTTTAAATAAGCGTATCCAATCTGTCTAAATGTATTCTGGAAATACACGGCTGAATTGTAAATATGCCTGTTGTAAGCTTACAGTAGAATAACAAGCACTTTTAATTAATGCTGAAATTGTTAACGAAATTAAATTTGCAAGTTTTTTGCTCATTATAACGATGTAAAGAAAATATGCGGTACAATAACTTTTTGAAAAAAAGTTAGTATACTTTCGTCATCATATTTCACAATTATTATGTAAAAGGTAATTTAGTGGTGAGTGACGGAACATTTTTTTTATAAACTATAATAATGCCATTGTAAAATTGACAAGTAGATGTGATGGATTCAATATATTTTATGGCTTATTGGACGTTTTAAAGTCCCTGATATTTGGTGCAGAACTATTTGCCTACAAAGGGTTTGATTAAAATGCTTACCTACCTACATTTTAAAGGAAAATTCCACGTCACAAATTAAAAAAAAATGGTGTCTGCTTAAATTACCAACTTATCAATTAGGAAAATAGCTGAAGGGATTTTATTCAAAGGACCCCGCACGTTATTTATGAAAATGAGGACTCGATCAAATTGGCTGAAGTTGTGGTAAGTTGTTGGTTTTGTGTTACTGACCAAGTCTCCGCAGTATTTGGGGCGAAAATTAAAAATATTGCACTAAAAACAGTAACTTTTGTGAAATGTTATATATCAGCATCGCAAGTTCAATAGTTCATTCCACCAACCAGCGTATTAGAGGAAATTATTCTAAGCTTCCGATATTTGTGGAAGATAGGTGCTATCACTTTTACAGGGTTATGACCGGCATTCGCTGACGTGTTGCTTGTTTATTTATGTATTTTATAAAGTTAGCGTGAACTATGAACTATTTAAAATTCGTCTCTATTATATTTTAGTATAAGTTTCGATATTTTTAATGTTTTGTTATCCAAATAAAGGAATATAGAGACCAAACTAGAATTGACAACAAATGTCGGAATTCCTGGCGCATTCGCCAAATACTTAAATTAATGTTTTGGACTTCGTGTTTCTTAAGACACAACATGGTCTTTTTCAAAATATGGGCCCGGTCAAATTGGCTTATTAACATTTTTGAAATGTGCCAAATACCAAACTGGCCGCACTGACCTTTGGCAACAGTAGTTTGTAGATTGCATTAATAAATCTCTTAGTTGAATGCAATAATATCTCTAAGTGCGGCTAGTTTGTATTTGGCACTTGTTAAAATGTTAATAGCAGCTTTTCGAAGTCATCCGATAATTTTTTTTATAAACAGTTCACAAAAGTTATTGTTTTTGTTGCAATATTTTACTCATACTACTTTGCAGCCATCATCAGCGTAACTGATTCAGGAAAATAAATAATTTTCGGACCCAAATACTGTGGAGACAATTGGTCAGTAACACAAACCAACTTACATAACTACAATTTTATCCAATTTGACTGAATCCACATTTTCATAAAGACTGCGTCCATAAACCTATCGTTAACCTACTTAGCAAATATCGTAAGTCCACTTTTTATCCAGACATCAAAACGCATATGTCGAACGTCCACTGCATTCGATTAAAGGCCAGAAATAGTTCACCAAAATCTCTGTCTGGATAAAAAATGGACTTACGACATTTGCTAAGTAGGTTAACGCTATGTACAGGGTCATTCTTATAACATCCTACCTCTCTTATCTTTTTTTATCTTTTTATTTAGAATAAAATAGAACAGACCAAGTCTCAGATTCCTTGAGATATCAAAAAACTTGCGTTTTTTACATGGGAATAAGCTGTATAGTTGCCGTTTTTTAACCCTCCGTTTTTTTTATTGCAACAATATATACATACATATCTACTTTGACTCTCACAATAGCTGAAGTCAAGATTGTCATGGAGCTGGTGCGTGTGTATGCCGTGTATTGAAGCACGTTCTACCGCCAATTAAACGAATCGATTATTAAATTATAATATTGCGAGAAACAACTATTCTAAAGGATTGAATTAATATATAGTAAATAACTAAGATCATGCCTGAGCCGAACCACCAGACATATACTGGTTTTGTATTTATTAGTCCTCATCAATATGCCATGGGTGAGATAACTGACCAACAATCCAACTATTTTTGATGTTAACTACAGCCATAGCAAAGTGCCACAACTATGAATGATCAATGCCTAGGCCTCCAAAAAGGGCTGTAATTTCCTAGATAATATGGAAAGCACAGCCTATCTCCAATTGAGCGAACCGATGATATTGCGGGAGACAACTACTTTGCTGACTAAAGCATTGAATTATACCGAACTGTTTCGTAATTATTATGAAAATTGCAACTTTATTTTAGAACCTTGAAGGGTCGTATTTCCGTAAATATAAGTAATGAAATTTTTCCTTGACCACCTGGCCTAATGCCCTTTTGTGGACTGATTCCGTGTGTCTACATTTGGCGTAAGAGAAATACTTTCATACATATATTAAAATGATCCTTTTCAATTAAACCGCGCGCACCGCACTTATCTCGGTATTCTCGGGCGGATACAGGCGCGGAATTTCATTCCGCTGTCTCTCATAAAGAAAGTAATCTATTACTGACGTTTTTACAGAAAGGAAGACTACATACCTCCGCAGGGAACGAGTAGCCGTGGATGTGGTGCTCGGATCCTTGCTGGTTCTCGGTGCCGTAGTGGATGTATATCTCCTCGAATTGATACCGATACGCTAACGGTCCCCCAGATATGTTCACGTGTTGTTTGGTATCTTTGTCGACCCTGAAGACCAAAGACTGGCCGGTGTTGTGCAGCATACCACTCACCTGGAAACAAAAAGATTTGGATACATGTGCAGAACAACCAGTTTTCAAAATTAGAAACTTTTTATCACAACTTTCAGAAAAAAAAATTTATATGCGACAGTGATACAAATTTTGTATATAATTTCCAAAGTAAAAAATTTTATAAGAATATGTGCAATGAAAGATTTTACTTATATATATTTTTATTTATTTAAAATTTCTATCGAGGACATGAACAAGAACAATTACAAAAACAATACCAAGAACAAAGACATGAACAACACTAACTACAACAGCGAGAACTAGTACGAAAACAAGAAAAAAAAGAGAACGAAAACAAGATCGAGAAGAAAAGCAAAAGTTAAAGCAAGAATTGGAATAAGAATAAGGCCGAGAACATGAACAAAAAGAACAAGATCAAAATCAAGAACGGGGATGACATGACCGTGGTGGTGAAGAAGAAAAACGAGAACGAGAATCAGAACTAAAACAAGAACAAGAACGAAAAGAAATGGAGCAAGAACAAGAACGATAACAAAAACAAGACGCAAGAGCCAGAGAAAAATCAAGAGAAAGAGCAAGAGTAAGAACAAGAACAGGAACAAGAACAATATGATGAAGAAGGATAAGAACGAGATAATCATTTTTTACTAACTTTGCCTAGCACACAGAAAATTCTGGCATAGGTGTAAAAATTCAATCCGCTATTACAGTACAGTACAGTACTTTCAATACTTTATTTTAAGTACCTATTGAACTACTAGAAAAGTTAGTTACAAACATAAAAAAGTAAAGTAATATCTCCTGAAATGAAAAACAAAATCTGCTGCTGCTGCTACTACTACTAATCATTGAACGCAGAAGGATTCCAGTCTGTAGAAATATATTTGTTATAAAGGAGTTAAAATATAACTAATATTGTGTGATTTCCAATTTAAAAGGATGGTAGTTGATAAGAAATATTTTTTTCTCACAATCAGAAAGTATTAATTTTTTAAATTAACCTAAAATTTCAAAATTTTAGGTTAAGCCGTTTTCTGAAAAAAATATTAAAACCGACCCCACAAAAGCGAATATCTCTGTATGGAGGGCTGAAACCGGAAAAAAATATAGAAAATACCCCCTAAAATAGGCCATAGAATACCCCCTTCAATATTTACGTGGGATATCTGACATTAAAAAAATCATTTGCAATATCTTCGAAAATAAGATATTTTTATGCCCATGCAGATGTCATTGTCATCAACTAATCTCTTTTTTGTACTTAAATCTAGTATACTATAATAAGCCGATTTTTCAGTACTCCTCTGTACCCAGCCCCCAAGGCCTCCGTTGTGGTGGCGTCCCACTCGAGTCGAGAGTCCATAAAGTTACTACACCATTTCGGCGGCGAAGTCCTTATATTCCTATTAATTATAACGAGATCTGACCGGGTGGCGATGCCAGGCCATTTAACATTACTCACACGCACGCAATAATAGTAATAACCTTTTATTACCACCCCTTGAGACCAATCCTTTATTCTGCTTTCTGCCTTTAAGTAGGGGAAACTATAAAGTCGGCCGTAACGATTTGATTTTTTATTGTTTTCAGAAGGATGTAATATAGTGAGTTCATTTTTACTGAATATTTTTAAATAATATGAGGAGATAAAATACATGATCCAATGAAATAGTAGAGCGAGACTGCAGTTGCGTCAGGTCGAAAAGAATAAATTTTAGTGCTGGAATTTTATTTTAAATAGGGAAAGTTGAGTTTTTTTTTTATTGTTATCCATTGAATATTCATATAGGGTATTAAAAATAATGTAAACAATTTTAAAATCAAGGAGTATCCCCAAAAAATAAGAAAAAAAGTTCATAAAAACTTGTTTCCGAGATGCATGATGTTGTTTCTACTTTTGTTTATATCTCCCAAACGGCTTGACCAAATCAATTTAAATTTTGTACAGAGTATTATCTAAGTTTGCATGAATATGAAGAAGTTCAGAGGTATCATATTATATTTTAAGTATTTCTGAAAGGGCAAAGGTAAATTGCATGAAATGGTACTTTTATTTATCTTCGATAGGACACATCGTTACCGCGAAAAAACAAAATTTGATGATATACATTAAATTACACACTGTCTTATAACAAATTATTTAATATCTCCGGAAAAGTAATTTGACACCTTAAATTTTATAAAAATATTAGTTACCTCGTTATCATGTGTATAGAAAACCATATATTTTTTCCTATTCTTACGAATAAAAGTATTTTGGTTTTCTATTTAAAATTCATTATTAGTGTTAAAGGTTAAGTGCATTTGTGTTGAGTTCAGTAATTTTGTTCGAATATTCACCAAACTTCGCAATAGTGAAAAATTTTGAAAAAGAACCCTATCGACTCTGGAAGACCTACATAGGTCTGTTTCCACGCATGAGGTAGTAGAGCAAATTTTGGAAGGAAGTGGGTTTCCTGAACGGTTAGTACCGCTTACCATATCCAACCTGTACAAGAACTCAACCCCAGTAGGTCTCAGATTAACATTTTGTAGAATTTTCAATTTTCATAACATATGCACGTTTGGGCTGATCATAATCCACGTGCTGGTTTTTGATGCTAGACATCAATCAACAAGGTTTTAGTTTAAATGTCCGGATTGGCACTCTGGTAGACATATTAATAGAACCTGTCAGTTAAATGATCCTGCATACGTATCTACAATTCTGAAGACAGTTTTATCGTTATTCCTTGAAGGCGCACCTATGAATCCTTCTTAATTCTCATTACTGTTTGAAGAGTATCTAAATGAACCTTTCGAAGAAAGGTAGATTGACGTGGAGGACTAGTTCAATCAAAGGCCTCGATGCTAGACCTGGAACTGTTACACTTCTTTATATGGGGTTATCTTAAAAGTTCAGTGCATTCAGAATCAGTTCTACAGCAGCGAAAATGAGATGGCTTTAATACAAATAGAGCTCAACCAGATTCCAGTTAATTTGGTCAACCCGTTTGAAAGCATTCCTTATTTCCAATTTTTTTGCACTGTATATACAGACCGTCTCCTAAAAAACAACGCAAGCCATAACCCCGTCATTTACAGTCTGATTTTAAAAAACAAAAAATTATGTGAAATGGCTCTAAATACTCTATAGAGTGAGCCTATTGGGGCGTATTTATTATTATTATTATTATTTTTGAAAAGCGATAGTCACCTTTTTTTTCAAATAGCAATATACGTTTTTTTGTTTATTATTATGGAGAATTCTATTCTGAATTCAACGATACATATAATGTCTTCTTTTATGAAATATGTATTACAGAAAAACCATGAAAATATAGTCAATACATGTCACAATAATGTATGCCTGGAAAACAAAAAATAATACAAAGCAAGTAAATGTCATTTTAGTGTTCGTGTCCCAGTTTTTTACGCATTATACTCTTTCTGTGTCATTTACACTGGGTTATTTATTGAAATAGCCTCAACAGTGCAAAATATGAGTAATAATCAATTGACGGACATGATTCAGGTATACTTTCGATGTAATAAAAATCGTGGTGCAGGAGTCTGCCATTACAGAGAACTATTTCCTCACAGAGAAGTTCTAGAACCACGTAGATTTGAAGAAAATTTGAGAAACTATGGTGCTTTTAAGAAACCAAAACTAGAAGAACGCCAATTTAATGTTCTTCTTAACGTCGAAGAAAACCCAAGAATTGCCATTCGGGAAATTTCTGATAATAATAAAGCATCAAAGAGATGCATGCGGTATTGAAAAAGCACATATTCAAGCCATACATTCCTCAAAAAATACAGGCAATAGAGAACGGCTACAATTTGTTTCTTTAGTTGTTTTGTGCTTGTTGTTCTTCGTTTAATGTGTTTTATGTTTAATTAATGTTATTTCGTGTTGAACTTTGTATAATTATTTTTCTATTAATTGATATTCATTGTACTGTTTCTTTTCTGTTCACTACAAAATTCTCTTTTAAGTTTTATTTGCTTTGCTATATTATTTTTTGTTTTACATAGCACAGATGATTAGTTAAAATACATTTGTCATTCTGTAATAAATGCTTTTCAAAAGTAAAGTTCATTTACATCGTTGGATTCAGAAAATAAATCTGCACAATAATAAATAACAAAAATGTATATTGCTATTTAAAAAAAAAAGTTGACTATCGCTCTATAACAAAAAAAAAAAAAAGTAAATGAGCTCAAATAGGCTCACTTTATAGTGTATTTAGAACCATCTCATTTAATTTTTTGTTTTTTTAATATCAGACCATAAATAACGTTAGTTATGGCTTGCGGCGTTTTTTAGGAGACAGCCTGTATATTTAATTTAAGCCAAATAGTTTGACCAGGAAAATACAAAGACAAAGATAACGATATTTCAATATACGTGTTCCTAGACATGGGTCTCGTGGATTGCATGTTCTATTGTGGGAATGCTAAAACCAACGTACTTCTTAAATCTCCCATCTATGTCATGGCAAATAATTATAATTTAATATCTATGCAGTGTGATATAAACCACTGTATCATAAATAATTTGTTATCTGTAGCAACTGAATTTTTTAAATTAATAAATTTTAACTGACATTGTAGAAACTAGAACGTATTTTGTAGTTTATATGTATATCTATTTGTATTTATTTAGAACTATGATTTTTTATATTTTTAATGTTTTGTACTTGAATGTCTATACTTGTTTGTCCTATAATTGGCACATTTGTTCTGTTGGGCAATAAATGCGTTATTATTATTATTATTATTATTATTATAATTCTAAATTTATGCAAATAAATAAACAATGTCTGATTCCTAATTGGTATATAAATGTATTTGCGTACGTATTATAATAAGACGGTATTTTCCAGACAAATTATAAAAAATCTTTCAAATATTCATTAACCCAAGAATCATTTCGTATTCAGACCAAACTTTTCCATGAAATAGGTCGCTGATCGTTCCGGTTTCGGCGATTTTCTCCTGTGGGACCTAACTCAATTTAACAGTTGCCAAAGTCG